ATGGGATCTTCCCGGACCAGGGCTTGAAACTGTGTCCCCTGCACTGGCAGGCAGATTCCTAACCACTGCACCAACAGGGAAGTCTTCCCTCTTTATATATATTATGAACTTTACTTTTTAAATTAAATACATTGAACTTTATTGCTTTTGATTTCTAAGCCTGCCTCAGCCTATATAATAGTGATTCCACACATACGTTTACCACTTTAGAGTCCACAAAGAACTTATATTTTCTCTCTCAATCTCCACCCCTGCCCCAGCTTCCTTGTTGCTTTCTCCTCCTTTCTGTATAATATAGCAAATTACTACTTCTTGATGAGTCTCTACCTATAGCAGAATGGAAGGATTATCTTGATCTTGTTCAACCACTCAATTCCCTTTTTCCCCATTACACAGCCTCAAGGGTGATATGGATATCTGCAGGGAAAAAAAGAGCAAATGGAAAATAAGCCTCCATTATGAGACGGCGTTATCTGTAAGATGGGCCTGTCTTATAAGATCGCAAAGACAAGCATCTGAAATAGTATTTTTACCATAATTTTTTTTTTTTTTTTTGTGGTACGCGGGCCTCTCACTGTTGTGGCCTCTCCCGTTGTGGAGCACAGGCTCCGGACGCGCAGGCTCAGCAGCCATGGCTCACAGGCCCAGCCACTCCACGGCATGTGGGATCTTCCCGGACCGGGGCACGAACCCGTGTCCCCTGCATCGGCAGGCGGACTCTCAACCACTGTGCCACCAGGGAAGCCCTACAATAACTTTATATTAAAAAAGTAAACGATTGGATTTGGGAGTAGATTGAATACATTATTCACTGAGAAGCTGTTTATGGAGTGACAGGAAAGAGCATTTACAATAGCTTTCTAATTTGTCTTCTTTTGATCTCTTTTCTCTCTCAAATCCATCTGTCATAATGTCATTATCAAGGTATTTATAAAATACAGGTTTGATTTAAAAATATAATTGCCCTGATTAAGAACCTTTGCTGGATCACTATTATCTACCAAAGCAAGTCTGAATTCCTTAGCCTAATGTACAGATTCTTTTAAAATTTGGTCCATCCTGCTTTTCCAAGTCCATCTGTATTCTCTGTACCAAAGACTCTATGTTCCAGTCATGCAAAGTGACAAAGTAACAAACAGTCCCTGAACTTTTCAGATGCTACCACTCCTCTGACTTTTCTCTTCCTGTGCTTGCTGACAAACAATGCCTTGTGGCCACCTCTTCACTTGTTGAACTCCTACTAATCCTTTAGTACCCCTCCTCTGTAAAGGCCCATCTAAAAGGATTAATTGTTCCCTCCCCTCTAAATGCTTGAGCCTTTGGCTCAGATAAATATATAACTTATTACAACAAATTTTGATTTATGTGTACAGGTCTTTCTTCTTTTATAGCCTATGAAATCCTTAAAGGGCAAGATCATACTGTGTTCACTCTTATAATCTCAGTGACTAACATGGAGTCTATTAGACATTCAATGTTCATTTTATCAGTGAATGAATCATTCATTCATAGAATGACCATTCTGTACTGCTGCAAGAAAGAGTTGCTCTTATCACTATTATTATTATTAATTTATTTATTTATATTTTGGCTGCACGTGGGCTCTTCGTTGTGGCATGCAGGCTTCTCTCTAGTTGCGGCGTGCAGGTTTTCTCTCTCTAGTTATGGCACGTGGGCTCCAGAGCGCATGGGCTCTGTAGTTTGTGGTACGCAGGCTCTCTAGTTGAGGTACATGGGCTCAGTAGTTGTGGCGCGCGGGCTTAGTTGCCCCTCGGCATGTGGGATCTTACTTCCCCAACCAGGGATCGAACCCGCATCCTCTGCATGGGAAGGTTGATTCTTTACCACTGGACCATCGGGGAAGTCCGTCATCACTATTATTAAAGCCACTGAAAGGACTGCTATCTCTTAGTCACGGCAGGGACCCTGAGAGATCACTAGGGTAAGTTCTCCCTGATCATTCAATTTCAGGGCTGCTCAAGTCTCAGAGAATTTCTCCAACCTACCTACCTCCCTGGAATACTTATTGTTCAGTATTAGATAATGATTACTAAATTGTCCACCACCTTTATTCTTGTGGGAAATCCTTAATTTGTTGTCTCATTCTTTTCTCAATCCTCTTTCAATGCTTCTGTCAATTGGTCAGCAATTAGTGGTCACAAACAGGCAACCCCATTTGGCACATAGTACTAAATTCAAGGTTCTTATTTTTCTCCATATCGTTGGCGATCTGGAGGCAGGAAAGACATTCAGGATGAGGACAAATAAGGACATACGAATTAGAGAAAGGAAAAGTTCACAGGGCATCATTAGAAGGGAAGGGTGATAGGCTGTCCGCTAACAGTTCTAAGGAAAATGAAAAAGAGCATGCCTATAGGGAACATACTGCAATGGTTTCCACATTAAAAAAATATTTATTTACTTATTAATTTATTTGGCTGCATCAGGTCTTAGTGGCGGCATGCGGGCTTCTTTCTAGTTGTGGCGCGTGGGCTCTAGAGCATGCGGGCTTAGCCGCCCTGCAGCTTGTGGGATCTTAGTTCCCAGACCAGGGATCGAACGCACGTCCCCTGCATTGGAAGGGGGATTCTCAACCACTGGACTACCAGGGAAGTCCTCACATTTTTTTCTGAGAATGAAAATCTTACTCATAAGCCTGTGGTAGAGATAGTGAGTCGTATAATGCAATATTCATTCTTTGTAATAGAACCCTGAATTCATTTGGGACAGCAGCACGTGCAGCCAAGGGATATATTGCCAGTTTCCCTGGCAGTGTGGAGGCTATAACTAAGTACTGGCTAATAAGATATAAGTGGAAGTGACATGTGGGGCTTCAGCAAGCCTGTTTAACAGTGAAAATGTGCACTCTTTTTTAGATTTGTTTCCTTCTGGTTGTGTAGAATGCAGATATAATGACTGATTTCAAGCAGCCATTTTGGACTGTGAGGAAACATACTCAGGAATGGTAGAGTAAGAAAGGAGTAAGTAAGGAAAAGTCTGAATCCCTGACACTGAGATCCACCACACCTGCAGAACCATAGCTGTGGAACCCATCAGGATTGCCTATCTCTAGACCTCTAGCATCAGAGAAATTAACTTCTGCCTTGTTTAAGCCATAGTTATTTTTAGTTTTCTGAATTTACCCCTAATTGATAAATTACTTCTGTCCTCAAGGATCTTAAGATCCAGAAGAAGAATATTTGGCACAATGTAAAGATTTAACAGAAAGATAGGTACACAATTCTGTGCACTTACTGGATTTATGAACAATTCAGCTGCAAGAAAGTAATCTAAAATATTATTATTTTAGACCAGGGAAACTAGCTAGTTAAAATCAAAATTATAAAATGTTTATGTGAACATGGAAACATGGAGACTGGTGTGGAAGAATGAATGAGGCTGTTAATATTGATTACACATGTTTGGATTTTCACTTCTTACAATGACCAAGTAATACTTTTGAGCCTTCAAAAATTAAAATAGAGAATATTTTAAACTAAAAGCAATAAATGATAAATATTTCTATGAGGGAAAACTATACTGATTTATCTATGTTGCTTTTTTGAATAGGGAATTCTATAAATCTGTTTTCAGGACATTGTATACCAGGATTCTCATCCCTGATCCACTAATAACTAGATGTGGAATCTTGGGGAAGTCATACTCTTTTGACTTAGTAAAATGAGAATGTTAGTAAATGAATATTAAAGTTTCTTTCAGCACTAAAATTCTGTGAACTTAATCATACATTTGCTTCAGTGACTATCTTACTGCACCTCTCCAGTCTGATTTCTATGAATTCAAAAGTTGTTACAATGAGTTAGTAATATAGTTCTTATGTGCCTATTTCTGAGGTGGGGTGACTAACAAATATAAATGCCATAGAAGAATAAGACAGATAACTCCAAATACCACCCTTCTCCTGTGTCTCCATAAAGGCCTTTCCATATGCATAACCTGGTATTTCCTAAGATACGATACTTTTTTGGTTTCATGTCTGTTCCCCTATAGATTGTGAACCCCTGGGGATGGGGGTGGAGGCAAGAAATGCATCTTCCTGGTGCCAAGCACTGGCCTGAAATACAGCAGGTGATTTTGCTGAAGAGATGAGCGAGTGAAGGAAGATTTGTATAAAAAGACGATGATCCTAAGAGAAAATGATAGCTAATCTTATGACTGGTAACTTGAAGTCTTGTCTCTTTTCTTTGTAATCCAGATTTTAATTAATTTGTGACATATTCATTAGTCAGAAAAACTTTAGAAATTCTTGATAATTTTTGCAAGCTTTATTGGCTTTTAGGTTGTTGCCAGATTAATATAGCTGTCAAGGAAAGAAGGGCGAGCTTCATGCTGGCTTGGATCAAATGATATTGTTCTGTCTCTGGATTATGAACTGTACTCAGGGTACCTTCAGCCCATTCTGGGAGACTGGGCAAGAGGATGGGAGGACTGTCCCACAGCTCATCTCTGGGGGACTCTGGCGGTGAAACCCCACCTAAAGCCGTTGTCCTAGTCAGGCTAGGCCAGTGCCATCCATGAGAACTACGGGCTACCCCTCTCTCACTGCAGTCTTATACACCATCGGAATTAATGATATATGCTCTCCTCACACACCTTCTTGAGTAAAAGCAAATAAGTAAAGTAACAAAGGGCTCATGGCTTTAATCCCAACCACAATGCTGTTTCCCTGCCCTTTTCCCTGGTGACTGTCTTTCTATTCCTGAGTGGGTCCAAGAGTAGCTACTACCTAAAAGCAGGTACAGAACACCCAGTCCTTCCTTCTGAGGGCCCCTCTCCCCGCTGCTGTCTTAACAGGGGTGCCCTAAAATCAACATCATCGAACCCCTCATGCAGAACAACAGGTGGTCTGAATGTCATTTATATATGCCTTCCTCATGGAGACTTACATCAAATTGTGTTTCAAATAGAGATATTAGGAGTTAAAAAAGATCAGATCATTGAATACAATAAAAGTAAAATATCGGTATTAAAGAACATACCGCAGTACCCTGGGGTTCCACATACTGTCTTCATGAGCACTTGATGTTCCACGATTTTAGAGAGCCCAAAATCAGCTGAGACAAGAAAAAAATTTAATGAAGTGAGTCGTTTCTCAGCTTTTATATGATGACAGATTACTTTTTTGTTATTCAAAGTAAAACTTATTTGTTTGTATTTGACGTTGGGGTGGATATAGATAGGGGCCAGTCACCTGGGACAGTAAACTAAAATAAACTAAATAATAATTCATGCCTTGCTTTAAATTGGAAAAAAAATACCCCATGACTCCCAAATACATGTTATGCTCTTCTCTATAATTACTAGCTTTCAGTAAATAAGCTATTTCTTCTTGAAATAATAATTGTGACAGATATATTTTGTCTAATATTAATTCTGAGATTTGAAACTAACTCTAAAGGACAGTATAGAATTATTGATATAATTCAGAACTTTTAATCCACTGGAAGAAATCAAAATAAAAAATTAGACTTTTGTAAATGTCAGTAAAATGAACAGAAATATCAAAGGTTTATTCTGCTTCAAAATAAGTAATTTTGTTCTCTAGTATATTTGACGGATAAGAATTTACTCTTGTATGAGGAACATATAACTTTGCGCAAAAATTCTTATTTATTTCTCAGAATGGTACCTAGAGAAAACATTAACAAAAGTTGCTACCATTATGGTCTATTTGCTGGGCTACATCCTTCTCACCCAGGAAACATAAGGAAACAGTTCAAGGCCATTCTTCAAGAGAGGCAGGTACAGAATTGATGCCATTTTAGACTTCAAAGATAAAGCCACATTTCCATGGAGGTGCTGATCCTTATCAGAAAAAGCAGCAGGAAGTCCTTCAGAAAGAAAGGCTCTCCTGTCTAAATTAGTATCTATCCATCCATTTAAAGAAATTTCTTGAAGGATAAAATCTTTGAAAGTGATGTTAAAGGAAATGGAAGCCTCCCTGCTGCCCACTGCCTTTCAGGAGTGATTATGAGAACAAGCTGGCTGCCCAGCACGACTTCAGTATTTTTTCTTTAGGTTCTTGCATTCATAAAGCACATTATGTTGTCTGAGCTCTTCCATGATATGTACAACTTAATTTTCAAAAGTGTTAACATTTATAAATGCAGTGAACTCATCAGATTAGAATTATAAAAGCGCCAAAAAAGCAATACCCTTTAGAGGATTTAGTACAGATTCTACTAAGGAGATTTCACCTAAAATAAATTTTATAATTATTTTTGCAAACAAAGATTTGCTCTGTAAGGGACATGGAAAGTAAAATTTAATATACGTTTTTCTAAAATGATGATTTAACGATCTCTTTGGGTAGATCAGAACTTCCCAAACCATCTTTATAGTTCTTCAGAGTGCTTACTGGGGGAAAAAAACCAAACCAAGGTTTCCAGAGTCAAATAAGGTTTGGAAAAAGCCTCACAGACACTAATTTAGATGTCACTCTACACATTAGCATTTTTAACTTTCTCAAAAGTCCTGCAGAAATAAAAATCTTGTTGAACTGTAAGTTGGCATTTCTTAACTTACTTGACCAAACTTAGCACCTCCACAAACCACTCCCCCCACCAAAAGGAGCGGGGAATGGTTCACTCAACTGAGGACCAGTGTTCTGTGGAGTGTACTTTGGGAAATACAGATCTCAATTTATCTCTGTTCATATAAACAAATGATTCAGAGCCCAAATTCACTGATATGTACTAAGCATTTTGTGTCAAAGTTCTTCATTACCTAAAATTAAGCTCCAACTAACTTGTGCAATAAGAAGTGTCATGTAATCTGTGATTTTCTACTATAGAAACTTATCTACAAAATACAAGGTCACCTCCTGAAGTCCCTGTCATTTCCAAGAGCTGTGATTCCTTTGTGTGTCCAGCAATGAAGCACCACCTTCTATGCACTAATTCAGGTAAATATTCCAGGAAAGAGCACAGACTTCCAAAACAATGCATTATTCCTTTACAGATACCAATATTTGAGGAAATTGAATGGAGGCAAAACTGGACAGAGCAATGTTTACAAATTCCGTGGAATAAATTTCTTCTGCTTTGGGAAAAGGGATCATAAGACATCAGGAAACATACCAATTTTGAGTGGTGCATCTGGGGCTGGAGTTGCATAGAGAAGGTTCTCTGGTTTGAGATCACGATGGACAATCCCATTTTCATGTAGGTACTAAACAGGGAAAATAATTAAGTAACATTCATATAATTATATTTATGGTTCCAACATTTAATCTTTCCAGAATTATAATAATTTTTACTAAGTTATGTGATTCAACAACACACATACTATGATTTAAAAATAAACACCATAAGGGAAAATATGTTTTAAACTATATGTCATTTGAGAATAGCTTATACATATTTTCCTAAAAGTGAAATGCAATTTACATTGTATAGAACCAACTGCCAGAAATAAAATATTTACTTCTCAGAGAATATTTGTTGCAGTTCTCATATGCATATTACCATATCAGCTCTAACTGGCTAATTATTATTATTATTATTATTTTTTTGCGTACATGGGCCTCTCACTGTTGTGGCCTCTGCCACTGCGGAGCACAGGCTCCAGACGCGCAGGTTCAGCGGCCATGGCTTACGGGCCCAGCCGCTCCGCGGCATGTGGGATCTTCCCAGACTGGGGCACGAACCCGTGTCCCCTGCATCGGCAGGCGGACTGTCAACCACTGCGCCACCAGGGAAGCCCTTGGCTAATTATTATTATAATAAAGTCAAGGTGCTCTGTGTTGAAATTTGTCTGATTTATTATCTGAAAAGCATAATTGTATGTGTCATCTTAGAAGTTCACAACCATAGCAAAGATTTCTTAATTATCATTTGAACAGACATTTAGATGTGAGTAATTATTATAGAGAACTACCCTTAATATGAAAAATATTGTTTAATGACAATGAATGCTCTCATAGACTCTTCTGAGGATTAGTATATCCAGCTATCAGTATAGAGTATTATACTTGAGATTATCTTAAAAATTACCTCTAACAACTCCATTCATTTTATTACATTTTAAATTATTTTGTAAATCATGTGTAATTAAACATGTAACATACTCTCATTGTGAATGTTAAAAGTTCTACATGACCATGCTTCTCTTCCAGGGGAAGCCTCAGGTCCTCTCCAAAAGCAATCATTCATCAGTTTGAAATGGTCTGAACTTTTTTCTATGCATTTACAAATATGATATATGTATACAAAGAAATATCCCTGATTTTTCCATTTTCTTACATCAATGTATCATTAATAAAAGTTTTTACACTGCTTTTTTACTTAACATTTCTTTGAAATCTTTCTCACATGTCACCACAGCTTATTTTATTTAATCCTTGCATCCATTTTTTTGTTTGATGTCCATCACTTTTTATTTTGCTATTCCCATTTTGATGGACATTCAAGTTTTTTAAAATTACAAATAATGCATTAATAAACTGTCAGTACTTGGATACTTGAGTATTTTTGCTGGTGTTTCTCTAGGACAGATACCTGGAAGCAGGTCTGGTGGGGTTAAAAGTTATATAGACTTTTAATTTTAATATATACTGCAAAATCACTTTCCTAAAAGACTCCATCAGTATTTACTCACATAAACATTGTAAGTGTATATGTTTTCCTAATATCTTTACAAAATTTATATTTTTAACTTTTGCTGAGCTGGAGTATAAAAATTATACCTTAAGTTTTGTTTAATTTGTCTTTCTCTGTTTACTGGTATAGTCTAGCTTCTTTTCATACCTTTACTGGTTTTCCTTTTCATAAAATGCGCATTCAAATCCTTTGCCTATCTTTCTGTTGGGTTAAGAGAAAAAGCTGCCAGGGTGCTGTAGTTTTTCTCCTTTCCAATCTCATAGGGGAAGAGAGGAAGTCCTTCTTTCTTTCTACTCAAGCCAAGTAAGAGGGGATAAACAGCTTCAAGGTCACTTGACATGTGTCACTTAATGATTTGGGGAAATAGGGACTGATACCTGGCTCACTCATGAAAAACTGGAAAATGGTTGGAGCAGGTGATTGAGGAGAGAGGTTCTCAGTGAGATTCAGCTGCCCTCAAATAATAGCTGGACAAAGACGCACATTTCTCATGGGCCCAGTGTGGACTGTGCAGAAGGGAATCAGACACTAGTCTCCCAGAAGAGGTCCCTTTGCTGGAGTGTTTCCTGCTGGGATGATGCCACCTCATCTCAGCATCACAGAAAGCAGAACATGAGGGAGGTGAGAGTAGGCAGCTGAAGGGCCACTCAGATCACCTGGAGTGAGAGAACTGTCCTGCAATGAGTCTCTGTAGAGCTATCAATGGTGCCCCATAGGGAAAGAACAACAGGCATTTGTAACCTGCCACACCCAGAGGTCACTGGTGCCAGCCCAGAACTGTGCCCATCTGGTAAGATGAAGTCTTAACCCTCCATCTCCTAACCCACTCACTCTTCATCATCTCCTTCACATCCCAACCCTGGAAGGACCACAATCAGCATCTAGCTTGTTGAAAAAGAGCAAGAAAAAAAGAAGAAACTAACAAGAATTCCTACCCCCTATGTTTATAAATTACAGATCCCAAGGTGGGGAAGGGAAGAAGTTTAAAACTGGATGAGTCTTAAATTTTGGTCGTGTCATGAAAAGATGCTCAACATTGCTAATTATTAGAGAAATGCAAATCAAAACTACAATGAGGTGTCACCTCACACCAGTCAGAATGGCCATAATTAAAAAGTCTACAAATAACAAATGCTGGAGAGAGTGTGGAGAGAAGGGAACCCTCCTACACTGTTGGTGGGAATGTTAAGTTGGTACAGCCTCTATGGAAAACAGTATGAAGGTTCCTCAAAAAACTAAAAATAGAATTACCATATGATCCACAATCTATTCCTGGGCATATATCTGGACAAAACTATAATTCAAAAAGATACATGTACCCCTATGTTCATAGCAGTACTATTCACAATAGCCAAGGCATGGAAACAGCCTAAAGGTCCATCAACAGAGGAATGGATAAAGAAGATGTGGTACATACATACAATGGAATACGACTCAGCCATAAAAAAGAACAAAATAATGCCATTTGCAGCAACATGGATGCAACTAGAGATTATCATACTAAATGAAGTAATTCAGAAAGAGAAATACAAATACCATATGATATCACTTATATGTAGAATCTAAAATATGACACAAGTGAACTTATCTGTGAAACAGGAACAGACTCACAGACATAGATAACAGACTTGTAGTTGCCAAGGCAGGGGTCGGGGAGAGATGGACTGGGAGTTTGGGGTTAGCAAATGCAAACTATTACATATAGAATGGATAAACAACAAGGTCCTACTGTATAGCACAGGGAACTATATTCAATATCCTGAGATAAACAATAATGGAAAAGAACATAAAAAAGAATGTATATATGTATAACTGAATCACTTTGCTGGACAGCAGAAACACAATATTGTAAATCAAGTATACTTCAATAAAAAAAGTAAAAAATAAAATTTTGGTCTTTTCCTTACCCAAGAGGGACAAGAAAAACTATGGGCATGGCCTGAAATTTTATTCATTGAGGAGAAGAATGGATTCACGGGGTTAATGTGTCAGGACAACAGTGACAAAAACATAAAGTTGCTTTTGTTCATGTCTTACCAGGTCTGGCTCACTCTTTATACTAGATCATTATCAGGTAGATAATAATACCATTCATGTCCTAAGCACTTACTATATTCCAAGCACTATTATAAACACCTTAGATCTCTTAGTTTATTTAATCTTAGCAGCAGCTCTGTGATGTAAATCATATAATTCTTGTTCTGGAAGTGAGAAAGTTGAGGCATAGAGAGGCTAAGAGATCTGTACAATGTCACAACTAGAGATTGTGGTGTCAAGATTCAGACCTGGGCATCTGGCAGCAGAGTCCATACCTTTGCCCATGTCATGATTCCCAAGCAGGTGCTCAAGAAATACTTATTTCTTGATTTTGTAGGGTGGGGATGAGAGGAAAATAAAAACGAAGGAGAAGAGGGGAGAATAATGGAAGAGAGGGAAGGTAATAAGAGAGTGGGAGGAGATACGAGAGAATGACAGAGGACCCCACTCAGCCTCGAATGATACTGTGGAAAAAACCACCATATCCCTAAGAAGGAAGAGACTATATCTCGTATATGCAGCGTTTGAAAGGCAAAGATGTATCTCATATAATAGCTTTGGAGCATACCTAAGAATTGCATAGTTTGGGATCAATAGAAAATATTGATTTTCCTCCCTAATCTAACCCAATTTAGAAGCTCCACTGCTTTGGGAAGAAAATGACACTGAAAATAGCAACACAATAACAACAGCAAATGAGATGAACTGGCAAGTGTTGGTTTAGCAAGTTCTAATTATGTAAAGATTCTCATTAAATGTTGTTCTGGCTTTCTTAAACAGAAATGGTGGTCATGTGTTCTAAGTCCAAATCTAAAGAAAGCAAGACAAAACAAACAAAAACAAAACACCATTTGGTACTCCATAAAGGAGAACTAGACCAGATAACAGAAGAAAAGTTTTAGAGAAAATAATAGATTATTAAAAGTCATAATATAATCATGTGCACATATGGGAGGAGGCATTTAAGTGTATTTTATTGGCAAAATGGCAATTTTATTTTTGCTTAGACCCACTGATTGCCTTTCATCAATAGTTAGTATTTTTGACTTTTACGTTATCTCAAGTCAGGAAGCCAGGAAGAAGGAAAACATGGAGTATATGATCTTTTGTCTTCCCCAAGGAGATAACAATCATTAGAAGCAGCAACACTTCCAGAGCACCAGTTCTCAAACTTTTTGGTCTCAGGACTTCTAGGAAGTTAAATAAAATATATTAAGAACCTCAAAGAGCTCTTGTTTATGTGAGTTATGCCTAACATTTAGTTACTGTGTAAGTAGTTAAAACTGAGAAATTTAAAAATCACTTATTAATTTATTTAAAAATAAAATAAACTCATGATGTTAACATATACATTTTAAAACATAAATATTTTCTAAGACAAAAAATTAGAGAGTACTATGCCATTGTTTTAAAGTTTTACAAATTTCTTTAATGTCTGGTTTAATGGAAAACAGCTGGATTCTCATATCTGCTGCATTCTCTATTGTAAAATCACATATCATGTAGACTCTGGAAAATTCCACAGTACTTTGA